CTCCAACTCCTCAAACCCTTCATTCCTCTTCAGACCAGGAGCTACCTTCTGTCTTTACCAGCTTCCCGACCGTAGACCTCAGAGAACATTCTAATGCATTCAATACCCTTCCTAACCTTCTACCACATCTGTCTCACCATCTCCAACTCAGGTTCCGGACGACTGTTTCTCTTCTCACCCACTGATGCGCAGTCACAGAACCATAACGATTACGGCCCACTCTAAATCGACACAACCTAAGTGTAAGTCGGCCCATCCTGCTCTTCAATATCCTGCGATTTTTTTCCCCCTTATTGGATTTTCCAAAGCTGTCATTTTAAACTTTTTCCATTCCTCTTAACTGTTCAACCCCACCTGACCGTCTCAGAAATGTACTATCTGCTGATAAGACTGAAGGCAATGGTACTGAGTGTCTGTTTCCGCCCATTAGACTGAAACTTGCTCTGTTGTCACTTCACCTGCTAACTGTGCTGCTGTCTCAAATTCAGGATCTTTCTGCCCTTTCACGTGTGCTCTTCATCCACCTCTCCTCTCTCTTTAAGGACTCGGATTCCTATCATCCTTACGCTTTTATCATGGCCTTTAGTTCTACTTTCTTATCTTTTGTGTAAAAAAACCCCAAAGCTATACCTAAGTTCTCTTTCTTTCATGATCAGCCTGCTAGAAAGGGTAGTATCCACTCTCAGGCCTGCATTTAAACCTAGCAATCCTCTCCCAACCCTAACCTCCGCTGTTCTGAAATGCTCTCACGTCCTACCAACCACCAAGTCCAGTGGCTTTTCTTGGCCTGCGATCTTCTTGACTCTTCTGTGGCACGTAGGCTGGACACAATCAAAAGTGAGTCAAAGAAAAACAAACCAAAACTGAATATTCTTCCGCTTCTCCGTTCCCACCATCACTGACTTTTCCATTTTTCCCAGTTAAGCCAAAACTTCTTGGTCATCATCGCCTTAATGTAGCTATCAAGTCTGCTTCCTGCCACCGTGGTCATGTCTGTATCACTCACTTCCTCCCTCTCTGCCGCCATGACCAGCAGCGTCCCTGTGTAACTCCAGGTGCTTCAGACGGCACTCCGCACCGGTCTCCCAGCCTCTTTCCCTTCACAGACCCTCAATCATCTAGCAAATAAAATTCAAATAGTTTAGCCTGAGAATTAAGGCCTTCTAAGAATTGGACTGAGTCTGTATTTCTAGACATCACGTCCTTCCCCTCTTCCATTTCACCTCATGTATTTCACATGACCTCTGAACTCTGGGAGAATTCACAGTTCCCAGAAGTCACCCTGCATTATCTCGCCTCCCTGCCTTAATCAGGCCAGTCCATCCACATGTAATGTTCAACATTGTTTTACTTATTGAAATCTCTTTTTTTGAGATTTGGTAGAGATGCCATCTTTTCCTTTCTTGCTGGCTACAAGTTATTCATTGCTCCCCTGAACTTTCAAACTTCATATATGCTTATCTCTTTCTTCCTCTTATTTCATGTTCTTTTAGATTATAGTTACCTATGTCCTGGCCTCATTGTCCCTACTAGATTTCAAGTTCTTAGGAACAGTGGTGAGGATATTAATTATAATAACTACCACCACCACAAGCTCCTTCCATATTCCAGCTCTGTGAAAGCACATTGCTCCATTTCAGCAACCCTATGAGGCCTGTCGCCACTTTCAGATGTGATTAAACACTGCGCCCAAGGCCATTACCCAGGAGCGGCAGAGCCAGGAAAGGAAGTTAGGCCTGTCTGACTTCAGCTTGTCTGACTTCAAAAGCCATGCTCTTAACTACTATGTGGTATTTCTCATCATCCATACACTCGACCGATAATCACAGAATACAACATCCTCTCCGTAAGTTTCAGTAGTTGACTTGGCTAGGTTCCCTGGAGTTGCTGAGCCTGCATGGTTAATACACACATTTATAGGGAAACAGATAACTTAGGCTCTAACTCTTAAAGGATGATTTAAAAAATGGACAAAGTTTTTATGTCTCAAGACTAAACAGAACATCAGGTGCAAAGTGAGAGAAAAATCTGGTTCCCTAGATTTGGCAGTACCTCGACCTGGTCTTCATCCCTGGAATCACAAACATCAGTACGGCAATGAATCAAGGCCACTCCAAAAGCCTTACTTAGATCATTTACACCACATTTAGAGAGCACCTTCACAATTCTAATTTCTGAGGCTCTGACTCCAGCAGTGAGAAAACATGGTAATTGTACTCTGCTGGTAGTCAGGATCAGTGTAAATGTGGGGTCCTATTTTACACACGAACAGGCAAATGACATATGACACACATAGGTATCGGTGTAAAGAAAAATAGTGGTTGTTGCTCTCTGAACACAAGCAGCTAAGGGCTCTAATCTTTCGAGAGGAATGTCATTATACAGCTCAAATCCCATCACAACAAATACTGTTACAACAGAGATGTCTGTATAACAAAAATCCTTTCAAGCTTTGGCTGACAGCCCATGTACTTCAAGCAATATTTGATGTGAGACTTGGAGTTCACAGTAATGGGAATTGACCTATATTTCCAAAGGTAAGATTTGAATGATTTCATCTGTAACTTCCATCCCATGATACTGTGAGTTGGAGTGATGCACAATCTAAACCCAGGAGTATAAAGACTAAACACAAAGACAGAAACAAATCAACCCTGTTCTTCTGAAAGGGCAAAATTCCTTCTTTTCACTTGGGGAACACTTAGATAAAGGAGAAGGCTGGTTTGTGGCCTCAGCTCATGGAGAGGAAAGATGGCATAGCACGTGAAGACAGGTGGACTGCACTCAAATTTCTTTTCTACTCTGCCTCTTCCTAGCTGGGTAAGCTGGGCTACATTTCTTAACTTTTTCTGAGCCTCATCTGCGAAATGTGACTAATACCACCTATTTTCAGGATTTCAGTAAGTATTAAACGAAGTAACATATGGGAAACTCCTAACACAGGACTTGGGACAGAGCACAGGCTCAAAAAGCCCTCAGTCGGCTTCCTTTTCCCTCCAACACTGTGGGTTTCTATGAACTCTTTTAGTGAAGTTAGTTATAGAACTCAGTGAATGAAGTTAACAAAATGTGTAGTCTCAAACATACCCTGATGAGGAGACTGCTCAGAGGAACATCAGGGAAAAAAAGAAAATGGTAGAAGAACTAGACCATGCACAAGTACTCACTTGATGGAGAGAAAGGACTTTTTGGCTAAAGACAGACACGTGGAATCCAGGGATAAAATGCAAGTAACCAGGCATTGGAACAATAAATGAGCTTGGACCACTATATCAGGGGTCATTTTGAAAAATGCTGAATAAACTGAAATTTGGAGGTGCATTTTTCTAGTGAAGAACTAACTGTGGTTGTTGCTCTGAAGCACTGATTTACTGCCTCTGGCATAGCTTTCTGTGGGTGCCAAGCTACAGGGCAGGAGGGTCCTCCCTTGCTAAGTTTGGTCCAGGGCAATACACTGTCTTTCCTCTGTAGGATACTGTAGAAGTTAAGTATTACAAAAACATATTCTAGTCATCTCCATTTGGGAAACATGTAGGAAAACAGTTTAGGAATACGACCCACAAAGGTTCTTTTAACATTGCCCTAGTTTGTGGTGTTTTAATCCTTCTGTTTTAGCTATCTAATTTCCTGTTTTTCAAGTTAGAGACAACTAAGTTTGTGGTAACAAAATTTTATAAATGTCCTTTTGAAAACATTCTTGGTGTTATATGATTATGTTTTGAGAAAGAAAATGAGAGCCTTGTGAAAATAATCTGAAGGTTTGTCTGTTTGCGTTTATAAAATAAGTATAAGTCTTTTAAATGTCTTAAAAGGTTCCTAAGAAGTCCTATCAGACCTCTGCCATGAGGATAGGGAACAAAAGAAGGCCCATTTCTCAGAGTCACAGAACATCAGTGTTTTAGTGATTCCTGAGTCCTATCCCTTCACCTTGACAGTAAGGAAGAGGCTCAGAGAGAAGCGTGTGCTGATGTTCCTGTGCTCGATAATGAGCTTGCACAAACTCTTAAGAGAGGCTGCATAGAAATAAAGTTACAGGCCAAACAGAAATATGAAGACAGAGAAAAAGGAAGTGTGGTCCTACAGAAAGACCAAGAGACCAAGAACGGAGAAGAATGAAATTACTAAAGCAAGGTTAAAATATCAACAGAGACCAGCCCAGTGGCAGCAGAGGAAGTATTTTAAATTCAGTCTGCACAGAGCTTGCAAAAGATGAACTCCAATACAAAAAAGCTTCAATATGATACAGACGTTTCTGACTTCTATTTTAATTACTGTACCCCCACACCCCAACATCACCCTTCTCTTAAAATGGAGGCAGTTAAAAACCACCAGATTGGTACATGTGAATCTTACCACTGGTAAGGGCGTAAACCACAAGCATTTTGAAGGTGTGCTATTTCAGGCCACTAGGGTGTTACATCCTGCCCCTAAACGCTCACTTCATCTAATGATGCCCATCTGGACCCCCCAAAATTGATGTCCCTCCTAAAAGTGTATCTTTTATTCCTCAGACCAATGGTATCACACTAACTGTTTATAAGGCATTTCAGGATCCCCACAGGCTATGGAAAAGTGAAATGCAATTGTAATTACAAGAGCAATAATGGGAAGGCAGGGGTAGAAAGAGTTACTCCTGAAATGCAAGGTTGAGAAACACTATTCCTTAGAGAGGCAGGCACTCCACGGGAGAAGAGGAGCCTGCGCTGCCTAGAAAGTGACCTCCGCAAGCAATCACGCGCCTGGACAGAGGCTGGCCGCGCCCCCTCCCTCCGCTCCTCCTTTCCTGCGTCCCAGGCCAGCTGGATCCACCTGCCCGGGAGGCGGACGGGGGGCGGGGGCGCGGGGAGGAGCCGGGCTGGCCACGGGGCACAGGGGCAGCAGGCGGCTCCCACTCGCAGTTCTCCCTCCCGCGATGCCCGCGATGCCCGCGACGCCCGCGACGCCCAGGGAGGCCCACAACCCCCAGGCACCCCCAACCGTGCACACCCCGCTGACTGTACCTTTACTCTGGGGAGGGTTCTGACTCCGGTCCCGGAGGACGTTGATCTGGTAGACGGCTCCGTAAGGCTCAAAAAGTTCTTTCAGCTCCTTTTCCGACCAAGACCGGGGGATCTGCCCGACAAACATCTTAATGGCATCTGGGTCTGGTTGGTCTGAGTGATCCAAAGCGCCGTTCATCTTGTTGGCTGTGCCGTTACTGTCAAAAAGGGAACCGGGAGCCAGAGTTAGGGCTGCACGGTCAGGGACAGGAAGAAAAAAATAGGGGGGTGGGGGCGGGCTGAGGCGGAAGGAGGAAGAAGAGGAGCTCGGGGCAAAGTGCCTAATGAGTCGTAGAAATTTGATGAACTAAAACAAAGCACAGGCACCATTAGGTTGCTCCTCGGTGGCAGCGGCAGCGGGCTCTCACTGCAAGCTGCTGCCGTTCAGCACCTCGCCTGAGCCCCGGGCAGCGCCCCGCCGGCTGTCACCCGGGGCGTGGACATCTTGAAACCCGGCTCTGGAGGCAGCTGCAAGTTAAGTGCAGGTCTCCTTCTGCAAGGCTGCCATCAACGCATCCGCAGCCTTATCAGCCTCACACTGGCTCTCGTGTGGAAAGAAAGGCAGGGCTGGATTTCTGCTGGATTTTCCCCCTTCCCCTCCCCTTTTTGGAGATTTTTGGGAGGAGAAGAGAGGTGATAATGATAAAGTCACATGAAAAGAAAATGAAACACTTGGCAGCCCGTCAGATGACTAATGCAAGATGCTGATGATGAATTTGCAGAGTGCGCGAGGCGTCCATGTGTGCATCAAATTAGTACGTTGTTGCTGCTCAGAATGGAAAGTGCTCCAGCAATGCGGCTGGGTGCAGCCGATTGGCTGCCTACGCTGGAGAAAAGGGCCAGGGCAGGGAGGGGGCTCCCGTTTAAAAAGCACATTGTTTATGGGACCCATGCACAAAGGGTTTAATTCAGAGAAGCAAAGGCGATCTCAGAATTGACTGCTTTGTGCCGAAAAGAAAAATGCAACCCCAGAAAGTTGAGTTCCCGCTAAAGGACACTGAATATTTCAAATCTTTCACACTCCATAAAGCTCTCTGTATGTCTGACTTCCAGATGTTGCACTTGGGTTCTAAACAATCACACGTTTGGAAGAGAAAAGAGGAAAGTCTGCCTTTTCTTCTCCTCGTTTCAGTAAATATTTGGGGATGATACAAAGAGCATGAACAGAATCCTTGACATATCAATCTTCCTTAAGATTTCCAAAGCCCCCATTTGGAAGAGGAGGCTTGTTTAGAGTCTACAATTCTAGTCATCATCATGAAATATGATGATGATGGTGTTCATTTTTTTTTTTACTTGGATTCCCCCCATTTGACCTTCAGTAAATAATAAAGCAAAACCACATGCTCTCTTTGTCTTCCACCCTCTGAATGCCCCCTAAACCCACCTACTCTGCCAAGGGACAGGGCTTGAATGTCCGGAGCAGCGTTCATTTGCAGTACCGTGCTCTTGGTTTAGCTTCTCGGACTGTGAAAATAAAACGCACTTAAACAAGTGCAACCCTGGCAAACAAACTATCTACAGAGACATGTCCATGATCATCCTCCAGCCCTCAGCCTAAGAGGCAGAAAAGTCTAAAAGGGCCCATATAAACTAAAACGTCACTGCAAGAGGCAGATGCCATTCCACTTTAGCCTTGGGGTAGTAATATGAAGGTATTCAAAACGATGGCAAATACTCTTTGCTAGGACCTGGCTTTATTTTCTACTTGCGATCTCCCTCCCTACTTTACCACTTTATTTTTATTTTTTTTATCCTTGAGATAAACAAACTGCTTAACTGGAAGCACTTTCAGAGCTTTCTCTAATCAACCGTATTGTTATATAAAATGTTCTGCTAAATAAAATATTGAGCACAAAATCTTCTTACAACAATATAGGTGTAATGTAATGCTTGTTTATATTAGAGATCAATCGTTTATTGTGCATCTTTACTTCTTTTCAAATCGCCCTTTGAGAATCCAATAAACACTTTAACCCCACGGAGCTAACTTTGATGGGGTAGAGGTGATAGCGTCCTACAGGGAGCAGAATGTAGCGTTCACAGCTCGTTGAGGGCTTAGAGTGTGGCAAGACTTATTTCTGGGACAGGAAGGACTTGTGGTTAGTGCTGTTGACAATCAGCTAGAGTGAAAAGAGGAAGGCACTGTCACTTGTCTCAGCTAACAGAGAACGGAAGTTCAAAAAATGGGGCTGTTCCATCTTGTTTGTACAGAGCAGTTAGTACAGCAGAGGAGCTAGGTGAAAGTATATAGTACTAACGTGTAAAGCTAGAATTTTAGAGCAAGCATTCCATAATGTCTCTCCAAATGAGGGGCTGTTTCTCTTTTTCAAAAATGTACTCACCAAGGTGCATAAAGGAAAGGAAACTGAGAAGAGGACATCCCTTATATATTTGGTCTTTGTATGTTGGTGAATCTATATTTATAATCCCTCTCCCATCAGCCATACTTCAGAAGCGGCTGGAGACCTCTTATCGTCCTGAGGCAGTGGAGTGTGGGAGCTCAGGGCATGGGCCCTGAGTCCTGGCACCACCACCTAACTGTGCCACTTGGGCCTCAGATTCTTCATCTGTAAAACGGGAATAGAGACTCCATCTCCTATTGTCATGTGCTGTGGCCCTGGACAGGGCCCAGAGTGAGTGTCCAGTAAATGTTAGCTATTTCTATTTTTAGTCTCTTTGCAGTTGTAATGCATTTGAAATGAGTGGTCATCACACATCTACTTTTCAATCCAAATTTTCTCATAGTATAGATGCAAACACAGCTCATATCCTAACTAATAATAGTATGAATCTTTTAGTGAGCCTTTATAAGCCAAATACTGTGCTAGGTGCTTTACATACCTTATTTCTACTCCTTACAACAATCCTAGAGAAAGTATTATTTTCCAGATGCAAACATGTAATAAATAAGTTCCTTTCCTAAAATTACCAGCTTATAAAGTATAGAAGTCAAACCTATCCAGTGGACTCCAAAGCACAAAATATTTCTAATCCATCATGTGGCCAAATACTGCATCGAGTTTGCCTTGGACTGAGAGTGTATAGTTCATGGCAAATCTATGAGAAGACAAGGCCAAGAGCAAGACCTACTGGGTCCCTGGAAGCCCAATGCCAAATACAAGGCAACAATGCAAGAAACAAACACATCTGTCCTCTTTCTATCTGTGGGAAATGCTGAACTTAAATTAAGTCTGTTAAGATTACTTTACATTCCAGGTTTCCTCAATAATTACATAAGTGTCTGTATCTCCACAGATCCCCTTCCTTTCTATTCCAGAGTCACCTCACTGAGTGCCTGTCATTCACATCCCTTCCTAACTACTTGCATTTTGCAAACAACCATCCCAAAGATTTCCATCAAATTTGCATAACAATCCCTTCCTTAAGTAAATCCAAGGACGTCTAGCTGTTTTACAAATCACCACCGGCAACAGCACGTCTTTCCCTGAGGAAAGCTTCTGTGCAGGGCAGGTGGTCCCACCCCACCCATGACCCACAACCCACAGGTTGCTGAGTCCCTTGCCCTGATGTTACTGCAAGAGCCCGGTGAACTTCATTCTAATGCATACAAGCTCCTTCTGCTTTGGACTCCCATCTTTTTGCCTGGCTGAGGTTCATCTCTAGCACAGACTTACTGACTTTTGTCCTCATGGGGCTGTCAGCACTGACACTTCCAAATAAGCCAGGAGCTGTATGTCCAACAGTTAACCCTTTGGGGGTACTTCCCAGAAGCCTCGGAGAGCCAATGTGTTCTTCAGAGGAGTAATTATGGGAACAGATCCCCCAAATCTCAGTAAGACTCTCAGGGAGATCATTTATTGGAATCTGACACCAGGCTTAGGAAATTAGACTAACTCGCTTCTCTGCACTTTCCAGAAATCCTAAGCACCCACTGCCATGCAGGAATTAATTCAAATTCAAACAATATTTATTGAGGGCCTACTCTTCTCTAAAAACCTTTGCCAGGTGTTTGACATCCAATATCATGATAACTCCAGGAAGCTGAAATCATTAGCCCCATTTTGGAAATAAAGTAATTGAGAGTCATGAAGGTAAAGTGACTTTTCCTATGTCACATCCCTAAGAAGAGGTGCCTGCAGAATCTGGGCACATTAAGATATAAAGGCCAACTGTCACTGCTTAATATTCCACGGGTTCCTCCAGGGTGATGTTTCCTGTGGACCCAGTGGCCACTTGCAGGTCCTCGACTCAAGCACATCTCTGCTGGCACCAGTCCAATGAACTACAAGATCCCGAGTGCCAGTCTGCTTTTGCTCCTGGCAAAGAGCCAACTCTAAGACTCCTCCCGGACAGATGCCATATGGAAGCAGACCAGCGGGCATTGGTGGTATCAGTCTCAGAGCCAAGAGGGAAATATAATGACGTTTGGGGAAAAAAATGAGAGTGCTTACATTTTGCTTTCAGCACAGGCACTGACCTACTTCCCTACTCCACTTTGCAGTAAGGAGAAGTAGATCAACAGAAGATATGCAAAATCCTCAGAGGCTCCTCTAAGCAGTAAAATATTAAAATTAAAATAATTGATTGAAATGCATCATCATCATCATCATCATCATTATTGCCATTATTAATTCCAGGACAACAAGCTTTTATAAGGCCTAAAGAATTGCAAATGTTTCCTTTGGAGAATGGAAACAAAAGGATTGATATTTTTATTTTTTCCTTTGTTCCTTAGATAGCAACCTTCTGCATTATATCTCCTTTATTTACATAAAAGGCAGAACAACATACTTACAAAAGGGGTATGAGAAATGCCAAGTGGCTATAAATAATTATATTAATGCTGAGAAAAAGATGTAAAATGCCATCTTCAGAAGATATACAAACCCAAAACCAACATAAAAAGATGCCTTGTCTTGGAAAAATTTTGTATAAAGATAGCCCATCTCCCTGGTACTTAATAATCTTAACTATTCCCATACATTTTATCCTTTTTACTTTTGGGGGGCGGGGTCTGTGGAATATCTTGTGTCAGTCCTGTCCAACTCCACAATGATGGAAATGTACAATCTGTACAATCTAATACGGTAGCACTAGTTACATGTGGCTACTAAAGACTTGAAATGTGGCTAGTAAAACTGAGAAACTGGATTTTTAATTTTATTTCACTTTAAACTTAAATAGCTCTAAATGC